ATTCATAAAATATTTCTCCTAAGGGAATATAACAAAAATTGCACATATCCATCTATTCTATATCATCTGAGAGTCACCATTATCAAAATAACTAAAGAAATAGCATTAGTTGGCAAAACATAAAGCTCTGCTATGATTGTTAAATGGAAGAATCCAGAACTTGCTCAGAGGACATCAAAAGTCTCTGTGTTTCATTGATGCCATCTCATGGTTGTCTGGATTTCTTCAGTCCAGATCTGTTAGATCTTGGATTTTTGTAAGAATATTTAGAGTACAGCAAGAAAAATTTTCTTAAGAGATTCTATTTTATCCCTTTTTTCCAATTTATTAATATTATAGTATGGATTGTATTAAAATATCATACATTAAGGATATTTTAGATCTGACATCAAACACAACTCAGCAGACATTATAATATTAGATGTAATTGGTGGCATAGAGGTATAGAAAACTCTCAATCTTTCCTGCCATGTAGCGGTTGTCCACACTTCAAAATTGGTACCGGTTTCGCTATTTATTCCAAGACTGTTGAATCTTAATACAAGTATCCCATTGGCCAAAGGAGAACAGCAATCCTAAAATGCAGTTTTTAAATTTTATTGGACAATTGTTCCTACTACAGCCTTGAGATCTGTGGAAAAGTGTTTGTGTGGCTGCAGTCATGAATAACTGAAAGGACTGGAAGTTGTGCTAGAACAGAGATGGGTCTTAAGACCTAATAGGAAACAAAAGGCAGAAATTTCATACCTCTGCTTTCTATTTCTATTTTTCATTGGCATGAACATAATACCAAATTGAACGAGTACACCCAATTAGAATAAAAATTTACTATTTAAACTTGCTTTGTCATGGAATACATTTATGGAATTAATGTTTACCTCTAGAGAGAAGGCAGAGGCAGAATGAATGACATTTCAGGAGGCAGTTTTTGTTTCCAGTAATTGTAAATGTTCCTTATTATGAGCCCCTCACCATATTAGCATTAGGGGAGGCTTCTTCTCACTTTTCTTCATTCACTGCAATTCCAATACATTATGTCTCCAAGGCTGAAGATAAGAACCATTTTGAGCTATTCTTCTTCCCCAAACAGCTATATTTCCTCTAAATCATGGACATGTATACATGGGTGCATGAAAATGTTCGTTCAAATGGAGGGAGATGAGGAATAATGTATAGCTTGAAACCTGAAAGGAAGCAGTTGTGCTAAACCTTGGTTTATATTGCCATGGCTTATGGAATTGAACAGTATGTGGATGAATTCACATATTGTGTTAACCATATATTTGGTTTGTAAACTCTCATTTAGGCTGGGTTGCATGCAACTTGCTAAATGGAAATTTGAATAAGCCACATCGTGTGTGAACCTATAAGGAGCATTTATATAAATGATGATGGAACTTTGGCTGCAATTTATGCCAGCCTACTGTCCTTATCTCAATGTAATTCATTCCGAGCCAGTTGGCATACATAGGGCTGTACTTCATTTGCTTATATTACTGGCATGCCCAAATGTCTGAGTAAGGCATTTAATCAGCCACTAAATTACAGAAGAGATGAACATTCTACAATCAGTTACTGTACAGAAGAATCCAAATCATCTTAATGTTAAGCTAAATATATTGTATGTACAACATTCTTTCTGATGAGTTTCAAAAGTATTCTATCATCAATTGGAGAGGGGGGAAGTAGAGAAAGCCACATACATAATATTGAAAAATATTATGTACAGAATTATATGGGAGGGATTTGGGGGGGAAATAATAAAACACAGATTGTAAGTGACATTTTACCTTGATCCTGGCTTAATATGAGAACACAGGCATTATGCTTCCTAAATCACTGTTGAGTGTTGTAGCTATATTCACCATTAAATAGATTCGTAACTGCCTGACCAACCACACTCAACTACTTGGAAGTATGAGTACTGTTTTAGCCCGGTACTCTTCAACATCTTCATCAATGATATCGATGAGAGGATAGATGGGGAACTTATCAAATTTGCAGACACTATTGAGCAAGGTATCAACTATACCAGGTGTCAAACTGACAGCCTGCAGGCCGGTTGCATCATGTTGAGGCCATGCCCACCCGAGCTCCGACAATGCAAAAAAAAGTTGTGATACATCGCAGCACTTCACATGATGCGGTGAGTTTGACACCTGTGACCTACATTGTATCTGTGCATTTTGTTAGACAGCAGCCAATGTTCAAGTCTGTCAAGATCATTCTGTATCTTAAGCCTATGTTCTGGAGTGTTGGCTATTCCTGCCAACTTGGTGTTATCTGCAAATTTGATGAGTTCCCCATCTATCCTCTCATCCAATTCATTGATGAAGATGTTGAAGAGCATCTTCAACAGAGCCTTGGGACACCCCACTACACACTTCCCTCCATGTAGATGCAGTTCTATTGAGGACCACACACTGAGTACTGCTGGTTAGCCAGCTACAAATCCATCTGGTGGTGATGCTGTCTAACCCACATTTTCTTATCTTGTCAAGCAATGGTCTATTTTATCAAATGCCTTACTGAAGTCCAAGTAAATTATATCCACAGCCTTCCTCTGGTCCACTAATTTTGTCACCTGGTCAAAGAGTGCAATAAGATTTGTCTGGTATTGTCATGCCTCCGTCTGAGCCTGACTCTGAGGATGACATGGAGTTCCCTGTTGAGGCCCAGGAGAAGGTGTCTGTGGCTTTGGAGGACTGTGGGGAGGAACAGGCTGAAGCAGGCCAGGGCCCTTCAAGTTTGGAACAGGGAAGGCAGAGCTCAGGTGAGGAGCAAGGCCCCTCTCACCAGATCTCAAAGCAAGGAGAGCAAAGAGGAGGAGGGAACAATGGAGGCAGGCTCACTTGCTCGGGAGGGCGTCATGCCTCACTCCACAAGGCACACCTGTGGAGTAGGTATTTAAGGAGACGCTGTGGGTGGGGCAAACGTGAACTCTTGTGATGTGAGCTCTTGTACCTGGACTCTTTGTATTTTGGAGCAAGTTTGTTTCCTGCTGAGTTCTCCTTGCTGTCCTGTTTTGCAGTTTGCAGGTTACAAGCAAGCTGGGGGTTCAAAAGATCATACTTTGTTATCTGTTTTACTTTAAAGAACTGTTTAACTTCGTTGACTGTTTTATTGAACTTGTACCAGCATATGTGGGGGCTGTTGGTGAATGTTGGCAGTGCTCACAAAGACAATTGCTCTGACCAGTTAATTGTTTTGCCTCCGTTCGGGGCCCTGGGTCATCACAGGTATGATCTATTTTTCACAAACCCATGTTGGCTTTTGGTCATGACTTTGTTTGCCTCTAGATGTTTTCTGATTCTTTGCTTATCTTTTCCAGAATCTTCCCAGGTATTATTGTTAGGCTTATAGGTTTGTAGTTTCCTGGATCCATTTTTTTTCCCTTTTTTGAAGATGGGAACATCAGCTATTTTCCGGTTCTCCAGGATCTTTGAAAGACATAGTTCAGTGGTTCTGAGATCACATCTGCCAGTTCCTTCAGAACCTTGGGATATAATCCATCTGGTCCTGGTGATTCGAATTTGTCTAGGGTGGGCAGGTGCTCATTACCATTTTCTTGCCTATCTTAACTTGTGTTTCTATTCTGTTTTTTATGGCACTGTTTTTGATGTATTGGACTGTTTTTCCCTTTGTGTAAAGACGGATGCAAAAAACAAGTAGTTCTGTTTTCTCCCTGTTGCTTGTCACTTTCTTGCCAATGGATCAATCATTTCCTTAACTTTTTTCTTGTTTTTTACATGTAAATATGAGCCAGCAGTGTGCTGCAAATGCCCCAAAAAGACAACACAATTCAAGGCTGCATTAAAGGGTAGAATCAAGATCATATGAAGTATTAATACTACTTTATAATGCCTTGGTAAAATCACACTTGGAATTCTGCATCCAGTTTTGGTCACCACGATGTAAAAATGTTGAGACTCTAGAAAGAGTGCAGAAAATAGCAAAAAAGATGATTAGGAGACTGGAGGCTAAAACATTTAAGAATGGTTGCTGGAATTGGGTATGTCTGGTTTAATGAAGAGAAGGACGAGAGATGACATGATAGCAGTGTTCTAATATCCCAGGGGTTGTCACAAAGAAGAAGGAGTCAACCTATTTTCCAAAATACCTGAAGGTGGGACAAGAAGCAATGGATGGAAAGTAATGAAGGAAAGAAGCAATATAGAACTAAGGAGAACTGGTATAACAATTGTAATCAATGGAACAACTTGTCCCCAGAAGTTGGGAATGTTCCAACACTGGAAGTTTTTAAGAAGAGATTGGACAACCATTTGTCTGAAATGGTAGAGTGTTTCCTGTCTGAGGAGGGGGTTGGACTAGAAGATATTCAAGGTCCCTTCCAACTCTGTTATTCTGTTCTGTTCTATAACCATATTGCACACTGAAAACACATTAGTCACATACATTTTAGTCTAGCACATGGAGCAGCTGGTTTGTGTAGTTAATTAATGGCTCACTGCATTGTGTAAGCTCTCTTCCCAAACTGGATAATTATGGGTGAGCATTCACATTATGGTGAAACCATTCTTTATTCAATAAACCATTGTTAGGCAAGCATGACTCAAGGTGTTGTATAACTTTAGCCTGTTTGTCATGCAACAGATATAAGTTTAAGGGGAGAATAAATTTTATTAAAATGAGTGATGTTGGTATTCTAGCTAACATGCAGGAACATGGTTTGGTAAAATTCTAGAGTTATGGGCTTGCAGACTTGCTGCAGCAGGATAAATCAACACTAGCTACACTCATAACCTACAGCAGGATAAATTAACACTAGCTACACTCATGAAAAGTTGGGATGGCATCAAAATGGTGACAGTTGTGTCATGCCATCATCAAAGATTATGGTTAAGTACTCTTGTGCCTCATAATTACACAAAAAGAAGTTGCATCATTTGTATTGACATCATTCCCATTTGCCCACGCATACAGTAGAGCTACCCAAATTATTTTATTCATACAATGGAAGTAATCATAAGAGGGAAAAACATAGTGCACAATATCCTGATTTGTTTAACATAACCACGGACTTCGTGTTTGTTTAGTATTGTGAAAACCCAATTCCACTGATTAGTTTTTGATATTAGACCAACACACATTTAGTGAATAATTTAAGCGCGTTTGATGAACACCACCTTAGAGCCGTGTATATTTCCCTGCTTTGCCCACCTTTAATTTAGCCACCATAGTTTCCTAATCTCATCATCCAAATCCAGAATATCGCCTTTGAAAAGGAACCAAGGTAGGTTATACGCAGCGCTGTTTTCTGCTCCGTTACATCGCGGAGGTCGCTTCAAGCCTATTGTAAGCGAGCAATAGCATCCCCCGCCCCGCCCCCTACCCATTTCAGGATGGACCGAGCCATTCAGAGCGCAGAATGGGGGACAAGGCGTAGGGAAAGGAAGAGAAAGCAGGCGAAACAAGGAAGAGTCTGTGAAAAATTCAAAGGCGAGCCGCGAGGTCTACTTCTTGCTGCCTTCCAGGCCATCCTGGAAGGCAGCCCGCACAGAAAGAACACCCTGCCCGCCGTTCTTCAACTCCCCCCCCCTCTGCGTTAGCAAGAAGTGGGAAGGACGGAGCTCGGCGCCGCTTCTGGCTGCGGTGGCAGCAATTCGGCCGTGGGAGAGTTTTCATTCAATGTGCGGAGGAAGCCCGGGGGCGCGTGCACCGCGTCGCCTTCGCAAGCCGTGCAATTCCTCCGTGGTCTCTTCGCCACCGAAGCCTCGGCTCCCAATGGCTTTCTCGGCAAGACCGCGTCTCCTCGCCTAGGGCTTACTATCTCGCAGGAGGCGACCGAAGCAGGGCACCAGGTAAGTCTCGTTGTGCTGGAGCGAGGGAATGCGGCCGCCCAGCGCTTCTGGACGGGTGGTCGTGGCGGAAGGACACGCAGACAGCAGAGCCTGGAGATCGGGAAGGGGGAACGCTCCTTTTGCCCGGAGCCTAGTCTCTCAGTTCCGATGCGGCGGCGCTGGCGGCTCTGTCTTCTTCGCTCGTCTCCTCATCTGCGGGTTATCTGAGCCTGGAATGCCGGTGCCCGCTTCGTAGCGCTAGTTACTGCGCCTGAGCAAACGCTGCCTTCCACCGCCGACGTAACTAGCAGCTGAAGCCCGTTTTAGAGGCGGCGGCCAGGGACGACTTGCGCTGTATATGCGCCGGTCACTACACCTGGATTGTTATTCCTCCCTGCAAATAGCAAGAGGGCGGATTGTTTGGTTGATTTTTTGTAGTAGCTTTGGGAGGGAGTCGCTTGGAGTGCCAGCGCAGAAGCAGGAGGGGGAAGTTTAACGTGCGCCTGCTCAGGAAACCGAGAACCGGGTTAGTACAGTATTGCAGAGAGGGAGAGAGAGACAGACAGACAGACAGAGACAGAGGCAGAGACAGAGAGAGAGAGGGAAGGAGGGAGTGGGGGCGGGTTATTCTGTCTTTCATTATTCGCGCGCGCGCGCATGTGTATGTGTGTATATGTATATGCGTGTATCTGGGTGCAACGTTTCATTTTAGACTTGTAGAAATGGAAGCAATTCCGGGAGAATAGGAAGTTCGCCTTCGTTAAGGTCGCTGCTCTACCTGCGAAGTACTGCAGAACCTCGGCGCTGCCTTTCCAGAATCTCCGCTTTTGAAGAAAAGACGCGGTTTGGTAGACTCTTGGGAACGATTGAATTCGAAGGAAGACAGTTGTATAGGCTGCGGAACTGGGATGGAAGTGCTTGAAACACGCATCCTTTGCCCTCTAGAGCAAACGTCTGGCGCCCGTATGAGAAAAGTATTTGTGTCACTTTTAGGATGGATGTCAGTCCAGCTTTAATTAAGCCTTGGCTTTGGCTATTTCATCGCTGTATGGATACTGGAGCAATGTGTCTTTGTGGTGTTTGTGTTTGACAGTGTGAAAAGTAAGTGTAGTGTGGATGTTTACTCTGAAGAAAAAAATATTCTGTGTTTGACATTTTGTCATTGTGCTTATAACTGAAGTTTGGTAGCCTCTTTTAAAGATGGATAAATATCCTTTCAAGTTTTACACTGCCTATATATATCAGAAGATAACTGCTGCTGGATATATTGATAATTTCTGTCTGGCAGACAGATACAGCTGTCTCCACATTTGGTGTGCTCTAGTTAAGGAACTGGAATACCAGTGACAACTGTATGAAATTATATAAACATTTTGTTTCAGGACTCTATTGTTAGCATGAATCTAAAACATAATTCCAGCAAGAAATTGCCTGTGCTTTGCATATCTATCTGGTTAAGTTCTTGAAGTTTTTGCAGCATGACCATTACAGTATTTCCTCTGTCATATTCTAATGAAATGGTTAAAAGGAAGTTCTTAATCTCAGTCTTAAACCTCCCCCTTACCTTCATGTCATATCTAAAATGCAGGTACAATAATAGTTTATTCTACAGGATTGGTATTATTTTGATCCTATCAAATTTTATTATTAAATTGATGCTAAGTCAGAGGAAATTGAAATTTGGGGTTGTCAATAGTTGGAGGGAGGTTCAGAGTTAGAGTTAGGTCTTCATCCTGGGTTAAATCCTTGTCTGCCCTTTTGTTTGTTACTGTATTGTCTAAGTACAGGATGGGGAGATAGTTGGATGGCAGCAATAGAGGTGAAATGTATTTTGATCACAAGCTAAAAGTGAGTCAGCAGTATGATTCTGCTACAAAAGCTGCTGCAACTGTAGTTTGTGTTAACAGAACCATAATTTTACAAATAAAAAATAGCTTTATTTTATGCTGTTTTTAAACTCAGATATTATCCATATGTAAACTTAAAACCAAGCTATAAGGATGATAAATCCAAACTGGAACAGACTAGAAGCTCTGTGAAAATGGCAAAATAATAATACTTAGTTTAGAAAACAAAAGATTAAGAATATAGCATTCAAGTGTTTTGCCACATGATTGTTTGGTGTTTGATACCAAGACAGCAATGGTAGCTTTAACTGGCTTATATTAAGGAGAATAGATTTTGAATGAGCATGATTCTGAACTATAAATTAGCAAACCATATTTTAGTGAATACAAATGGTGTTAACATTTAAAAAATTAGGATAATTGAGCAAAACATGGTTAAATTATGGATGTGAGTTCTACAAAGCTTTTAAATGATTAGAGCATTTAACATCTAACTAAATGAGCATCTGAACATGATTGGCTATTCTCATGGAAGGCATTCAAGCAGATGTTGGACAGTCACCTGTATAATTGATAGCTGATAAAGACATGTCCATGAATGGGATAGTAAGGGCATTTTGTTACAGATGCAGTTCTCATTTCTCCAAATCCTTAGTATCACTTTCCTCCTTGTGTGTCTTCAACTTGTTGATGACTAAATTCTTTGAATAGATAGTTTTATGGTGATGGAGTTCACCATAATTTACTCAGTGTAGATGCCACTCAGTTCCAACCAACTTTGGGTGTTGTGTTGTACAAAAATAGTGACAGCATAAAAATAGTATGACATTTATAAAAGATTAAACAATAAGAGTTGATGTTGGATCCTGTCAATCATAGTCAAACACAGTCCAACAGGGGCCCCAACCACCTTTACCCAAGGCCTGGGAGAACATGCCAGACGGAGAGCCATGGGGATATTGGGGAATCTCATTCAAGAGGGCAGGCACCATGACAGTGAAGACATGCTTCTAGGTTCTGATAAATTACAGGTGGACCTGCAGTGTACCAACTCTGTCAAATTGAATCAGCCAGGCTGATGCCAAGGGAGACAGACAGCCCCTCAAATAACAAGACCCTTTGCCGTGCAATGCAAGGCTGTATAGATTATGATAAGCACCTTGAATAACACCTGGAAGCATTTTGTAACCAGTGCAGTTTGTGAAGCAAAGATGTCACATGAATCTACTGAGGCATGCCAATCAAGGCTCATGCTTCTGTATTCTGGACCAGTTGAAGTCCAAGTGGTGTTCAAGAGCATAGCCATGTAGAGCACATTGCAGTAGTTAATATGTGTGGTGACTAGGACATGAGTAACTGCATGACCTTTTTGCTGTATTCCTTTATGTAGCATTTTTTTTTTAAAAAAAAAACACTTAACCATTGTGTGGGAATTGACAAAGCAAAAGCCTATTGCCTGGGAAGAATAGAACAAAGTGTAAAATGGTCTAGGTGGGGATTGAAGTTCTTCAAGATCCTTTCCTACTCTTATTACATCATTTTATCTTCTTTACAGTTACTTTTTAACATCTTATTATTTTCCAGCTTTCTCACTGGTGCCTGATCATCCTTTGATTTCTGAAAATGTTATGGCTGCTGTTTATCAACTTGGTTCTGTTCTGAGCCTCATGTATATCAGAAATAATGCATGTTTTACATAATGATTCAGCTAAATGGTCATTCTATGTGTGAAGAATGGACAGTAATGAGGATTTCCTAATTCTTGTTTTAAAGAAATGCATTTGACTGCTATGTTCGTTTTATACAGGTAGAGGTGTATGCAGATAATTCGGTAAGGAGCTTTGTCTCTTTTGATCCATTCCCTGATGGTAAAATAGTTGCAAACACCTTTAGTGGGCTTCTCAAAAGGTTCTGAACATTTTCAGTGAGGTAACTGGGGAAACAAAATGACTCAAAAAATTATTTCCACAGCTGTAGAAAGTACCAAATTAGATATTAGAAGAGTAGTTTAAAATAAACAAAATCATTCCAGAAATCTGTTATAGTTTTTAATTAATGGCATGTGTAATGTGCCCTGTTTTCCCAGGAATAAACAGACAGCTCTTTCTTCAATCTTTAGTAGTTTGCCAAATCTGATAAATCTGACATAACTTTACATAGATTTATGATTCCACTAAGACATAAAATTAGCATTGTGGAAAAGATATAAATTATTTTAGAAAAGTACCGTATTTCCCCAAAAGTAAGACCAGTCTTACTTTCTTTTGGGTTCTGAAGTAAGCACTAGGATTTACTTTGGGGGAGGGCTTATTTTTTGTCGGTACCAGGCTGCAAGCATGCAGGAGGGGCGGGGCTTGTGCATGGGGTGAAGAAGCAATGCGGCGGCGAGAGCATGGTGGCTGACCAGGTACAGTACTGGTATGGGTGGAGAACGTGCCCTTCCTGTGCCAGGCCAGCCCCTGCAGCCCCGGGTGGCCATGCTGGGCAGTGACCAGGCAGACCAAAGCGGCAGGTGAAGTGCCGGAGGCTCAGGGAGGGAGGGTGGTGAAGTGGGCAGGCATCCTGCCATCAGCACCCAGGCTGGCTGCCTCTTCGCTGTGGAGCTGGAGACCTTGCCATACTACCGGCTAGATGCCCTCACATCCCCCAGGAATTGCATTTCTTTCCTTACTAACTTCCAGCCCCATGCCATTTGTCCTTCACAATCCGCCGCCACCGTGTGCAGAGAAACAAAAGAAATTTGTGTGGGGGGGGGAAGGGTCAGTCAATCAATTCCAACTTTGTGAGATTTTTTTTTTTTTTGCGAAGGTAAGCAGGAGTGGGGTGCGTGGGGCAACTTCATCCCCAGTACCCCTGCCCTTGCTCTAAACTAGGGCTTACTTTCAGGGTGGTCTATATTAGGCACATCCCGAAAGTCAAGCTGGGGCTTACTTTCTAGGGCGGTTACTTTTGGGAAAACACAGTAGCCTGTCTCTGTTTATAGCTGGAGAATAATGAGAGATACTGATTTTTTTAAAAAAAAAATCATCTAAATAAGCTAATAAGCATCTGAATAAGTTAATATAAACCAAAATGTTTGTATTGCTTCACTAACTTTATTATAATATGTTTCACGTGTGATGTTTTTAATTTAATCTTTTTCTTCTTTTTGTAATTCTTTTTGAGAAGAGATTC